AGGAATCCGTAGGTGCTGTGTCCCTTTCCATGGTCGTGTTTCTCCGGGGCATCAAAGGATCCCATCAGGTAGTTTGTCGCAATCCATCCGTATAGTCCCTCGGTCACGCCCGGAATCACCTGGATGTGAACCCCACAGTCCGGAAGTAAAAAGTTTGAGTTGTCACGAGCATAAGAACAGATCTGGTCCAGAAGCAATTGTCGCTCGAGGTTTCCTAGCAGTCGCATACCCGCAGTGGCAAGGAGGAATATGGGAGTGTCCTTGGCATCTTCCGCGGGAATGATTCCCTTGGCGTGGTCTAATAATTGAGCAAGATGGTCTGATCCAACCAATTCGGGTGTGTTGGCGAATGAAGAAACACCTTTTGCGCAGATAGGTTAGTATCGGGTTGTCGACGAATCCGTATTGGCTTGAGCAGCGCTCACCTGGGTGAATCTTCTTCGTCCATTCTTCTTTAGTTTTGATTTCCGGTAGCGATCTCAAGTCCTCCACATGAGCGTTCTTTCGTGCCGCGGAATTTCGTAGCCATCGGTAAACGTGTACGCGAGTCCCCTGTGCAGTTGATTAGTGGCATGACTCCGAGTCTCCGGGATGAGTCGACATACAGACGATCCTGCGTCTAGGACGACACCATAACGCCCTAATAGAAAGGTCAATTTGCCGCATCATGAAAGTTAGGGTAGGACTGCATACATTTGCCCATTTGGACTTTTGATTATTCGCAGAGCATGACAAGACTGCTCAAAGGGAAGCAGAGGATCAATTTGTCAAATTAGGTTGCAAGAATATGGGGTAAACGAATGACGGAAAGTAAAGAAGACTTGAGAGTGAAGAGTAGAGTGAGGAGAGAGACAGCCAACCTTGGAAGGCCAAGAAAGATAAGGAGAGTGTCAAAAGCGGCCTGGACGCGACGACTCCGGAGCGGTACGAGACATGACGGGCCGGACTCGGAATTTTCAGTGGCAAAATGGGCACAGATTGGTCCGAATTGGGGAAAGTGGGGTTATTTATGGGTAATTTAAGTTTCTGTGACCGGGTAATCTTTTTTCTTTCTTTTTGCAGATTTTCAATCATTTGATGGGGAATAACATCCAATGTCTCCAACGTACAATCTCGAATGTACTACTCCGTACATACACTTAGTTTCTCCTGCAGATGTGTACACATCTCACTGCGGCATGCAGACTAATCACGTTGTTTTAATCTTGACAGGGACAGTTCCACTTGGGCCTTGACTATCTCAACTTCACTATTTATTAACTATAGTACTCTGTAGGTACGAGGTAGTCGATACATTGTAAGCGGATATGTATCCCAGCCTCGTCGTCATGGAATGCAGCTTGGGAAAGAGACCCTACAGGACACTAAAATGCCGGGGAGAGGGGAAAGTATACGTCAGCCCCTCCCTTCCCCGGCCTTGGAAGCCGATGGGGAGATTCGTTGCGTCACTCTAATGAACAAGGGTCTGTCTTGGCGAAGGCTTTTCATATTCCCCTGTTATGGTAGAATCCTCGTAAAAAAAAAAATTTAAAAAAAAAACAAACAAACAGATTCAGTCACATAAACTGAAAGTCACAAGTTTTCTTCTTGGGCATCTCTCGCTAAAATATTATGCATGGAAGCGAAATGGCAAAAATTGTAAAAATAAAAATAGAAACATCGAAGTTAATATCTGAGACAAGTTACGTGTTCTACAACAATTCTGGGATTTGAGGTCACGAGACGAGGCTGTAACCCGGTCATTCCTTCGTTCCCTCAGACCCAACCACTACAGGAAGCTGCCCATTAAGCACACTTGCAGGTGATGAAGACCCGCATAGATCGTCAAGCAGCGCCCGCTCACCAATCTGCTCATCGATAAACTGCGTGCGGTCCAGGCCAACCATTTCCACCTCCTCATGCACGCGCAACTGCATCCCCGGTATGAAATTGATAATGTAAAGCAGGATACAGGAGACAACAAAAGAATATGCCGAGATAGCACACACCTCGGCCAATTGTTTTCCAACCTGCACTCCATTGCCGTTAATGCCACCAGTGGCCTCGGTCACGCCATCCAACGCGGCAATAGATTGCGACGCAAAGATGCCGGTAAGGAATGCCCCCACCATTCCGCCGATACCGTGCAGCTTGAACACATCCATCCCCTCGTCTATGTGTAACCACTCGTTGATGTTTTGGAGGAGCGCGCAGACGATGCTCGTGAGGAACCCGATGACGGCAGCAAGCCACACGGACACAAATCCGGCGGCTGGCGTGATGCCTACTAGCCCTGCGATTGCGCCTTCGCATGCCCCCACGACCGAAAACTTCCCACGATACTTAATATAGTCAACCAGCACCCATCCGAGTACGCCTGTGCAAGCTGCAGTGTTGGTGTTAAATACCGCTAGCATTGCCCGCATGCTAGCATTTAGAGTCGAGCCGCCCTAAGGAATAACTGCTGTCAGACTTGAGTTTAGAAAAGGCACAGGTGTGACATACGTTGAACCCGAACCATCCAAACCAGATCAAGGACGTCCCTAAGAAGACTAAGGTGGTGTTGTGGGGTTTCGCATGTGAAGGCTTGTCGATATCCTTGCGCTTCCCCAAAACAAAGGCATAAGCCAATGCTGACCAGCCAGATGCGATGTGAACCGGGCCGCCGCCGGCGAAATCAAGTGATGGGAGGTTATACAGCCACCCGTTGCTGTTCCAGGTCCAACAGGCTAGGGGACAGTAGACGACGGTTGCCCAGCAGAAGCCGAAGATCAGCGAGGGGATCATGTTGCCTCGTTCGAAAGCTCCGCCAACAACAATCATGACCTACCACAGCATTCCATTAGATTTAGTCTCGCGACATTCTGTTTTATGTGTTGCTTACCGTGCATGCGCAGAATAGAAGCTGATAAAAGCAGAACACAATCTCCGGGAGATCCGCCGAGCCAGGCGATGGTGCTACCATCACACCTCTCAGACCGAAGTTCTTAAGGGTTCCAATGAAGGGACTTGCATCCCGGGCATAGGCTAACGAGTAACCCCAGAACATCCATTGGAACGTTATTCTGGCGGGATCATTGGTGTCAGTACGATGTACGTGTGGGTTTTGAAGAAGACCTTAACATACACGGCCACAACCATGAACGACTGGAAGAGTAATGCCAGTGCTGATTTTCTCCGTGCAAGACCACTGTAGAGAAGACCAATCCCGGGGATAATCAACCAAACAATGAACGAGCAGAGGATGATGTAGGTATAGTTCCACTCGACGCCTGCATATTGAGCATTTACATCGACCTTGAGTGGATCTCCGCCTGTTGGGGTAGACGCATTGTAGACTGGCTATATTATATGACTGTGTCAGCTGTGTGCAGGTGTCATTTCCATCATACTAGACTTACAGAGTCGGCCATGATGAGAGCTAGAATGGGATCGCAATCCTAACTCCTTTGCTCGGGGGTCCACAGTACATATATATTCTCTAGCAGAGTGGGCATCTACATAGCTCATAATAGCTAAAACAAAGATTTTCGGGCATCTTATCTATTCTATGACAGCAGCCAAGACTCTATTGTTTCAACGGGGAGCTTTGAATCTATAGTAGTCGCCTATAGTTCATGGGAATCTATGACTGTCGGATGAATTATTCATGATAAGAAGGGGACTTAATTCGATCTAAGCTAAGATAAGGATCCGAGAGCATGTGTTCTATAGAATTTCAGCTATCCAATTACGTCTTGTTCTCGTGTTGACCCCGGATCTTACAACCCTCTAGGGCTTAGGCTCGTTATCGAACGCCTATCTTATCTCGGGAATGATCTTGGCGTCAACGGTACGGAGTATGGACTACAACATACAACAGATGTCTTAGACTTCGAATGCCAAGCTGATGACGCCTTGGCACGATTGTCAATAGCTTGGCACGATTAGTCCCGAAAATGATGCCTTTAAAATCAAAAGGAGTATCGTTGTTACGTAGATTAAAAGCGAATAACGCATCAAACCAGGACAGCTGGAGGTGGATACTATACCCGAAGTAGCTAGCGGGGAGTGTGTGTCGCTGAATAAAGAGTGTGTCCATAACTAACTAGTCCTTCTCATAAATCACCAATGGCACAGCGGTATAGCCCCTTTAGGGTGCAGAATAGTGGTATTATAGGGCAGTGGGCGGTTCGGGAGCGGCTGGACGTCTAAACATACAAGTGGAAAGGCAACCGTTTCTGGTCTCAGTAGCGGTCATTTCGGCATCAATCCCACAGTTCCTCATATTCTAGATACAAAAATGCCTTGGCTCGGTGGGAGCGTTGCCGGATTTGGCAGTCAAATTGGCGTCGTAAAGGACGTTGTCGGGAGTGTAATGATGTGAACCACGAGGCGAAATTAGATTTGCCGGTAATAATTAGGACGAGCTACAAGAGCTTAGGCTCCGCCAAGCTGGTTGTGGGAAACAGGTTGAAAGGTGCATCGTAGGAGAAGTACTTGATGAAGGTGTACGTCGCTGGAGAGGTACTCAACCGCGTGGACAGCGGATTGTGGGGTCTGAGGTGCATCAAATGGAGAGAAGCACATCGCTGTAGAGGGAGGATTCAGAATTCCTCTAGTGATATTGCCATCCCCATACTATATAATCATTATCCTCCGCAAAAAGCTGCAACTGCTCCGGCGAAAGCTGCGCCTCGATCCGCGCCGTGTCGGCCTCCGTAGAGCCAGAGGCGCTCGCGGCCCTCAAAGATGTTTGGATAGTCGATACGGGTTGCTGATCCCGTCGGCTTTCCTTATTCCGAGGTTCTTCCGGTTCAGTAGCTTGATCCTATCTATTGGTCTGATTAGGTAGACTGGTGTTGATGAATGAGGTTTTTCAAAATCAGGTAGTAGTTTATTTCCCACCGCAAGATCCACATGCTCCGCTATAGTAGCCTTAGTAACCTGTCGCCCTGCGAACCCTCTTCCTGCCTGTTGGTTGTCGCACTTAAATCGCCCGTTGGCCAGCTACAGCCATCGCCATAATAGACACCACCCATTCATGGGCCACTAACCTGATCTCGGTTTCTGGTTTCAGTCCCTGGTAGGCTAGCTTGAGCACCTAGCCGCTTGACCTTGTTGATGCCGTCCTCGGCTTGAATGTGATTCCAGCCCGAGGATAACACCGACAGTCGGCTCACTGAGAGAAGGCCACCAATGTTGGTGCTTCCATCCTTAGCCAGTAGACAACCAGTGTCACGAAAATCGTACATGAGCTTCTCAAAAATGTCGGCCCGGCCGCTCGCATGTAAGATATTCCCAATAGCAGCATGTACTGCTAGAATTATTGGGCTCGGAAGGCGATAATGGTGATCGCGGCTGGTAATGGTGACGATATTACGCGGGAGAAGCTGGGTCAAATAGGAAGAAAAGTTCGGAAACATTTTTAGACGATAGCGGTTAGGGGTTTCACTCGCCTCGAAAACGAAACGAAAGTGTCCAAACTCCTCATGCAGCGGAGAAAGCATCATCATGACATTGTCCTCTCGGTTCACATCCTCTGGAGACAAGTTGAGGCGCGAACGCAGACTCGGAAAGTAGCGAAAGATGTTCACCCAAACCAAAGAGATCCACCTTCTTTCATCGTCATTTCGGAAGCTACCAAGGGCAAAAGGAATGATATGAACGGCTTGCAAGGGACCGTTAATTTGGCCAGGGGGTGGTTATGTTCGCGATCCCAGCATTCAGTAACAATACACTGGTATCCTTCCCTCTTCGAGCAATTCCGCCGTAGTAGACGCTGGTCACTCCGTGTGACTGATTCGATGTCAAGGGCGTTCAGATTTTCGATCGAGTCCTCAAGCCCAAGACGGGGGGAAGGAGTGATGGCGGGCGTCCCCCCGCCCATAGACATCATGGGGCGCAGTAACCCAATATCTAGGCTGTCGGCTAGTTGTCGGAGTTCATCATCGTTGCGGCACCCACATACGTCCTCTGCGAGATGACGTTGTCCATCTAGCGGCAGATATTTGAAAACGATCCTCAAGAATTCGTCTGCATCATCTTCACGATTCAGAGCTTGGTATTTTTCTAGGGTGGCCTCTAGAGATGCCTTGGCTTCGGCGAAAGTCGAGAAACTGGATGAGACCGTCGGACTGAGGCTCTCTTGTGAGGTTGACATGATGAGGAGAGCAGGAGCAAAACGGCGATCGAGGGTCCGACCGTCGAAGGACTGGTTAGTGACCGCTCCAACTGTGGATGCGATTTTATCGAATCGATCAATCAAATTAGTGTATCTACAGGACAAATCAACACAATAAACTATGTAATGATGGGAAAAAAAGACGACAGGTTCTCCAAGCGGTCAGCCCGTGCTAAACTTGCGGCAAGATGACCTTTGTGATTAGGTAGGACTTCCAGAAGCGAGTAGAGAGAAAAAGAGAATGAAGAAATTCAGCTCTTTCTACGTGTGCATCGCTATGTAATGACGTGTCACGTGATCGCTCTTCCGCTCTTCACCTATACCGTAGGCTGTAAGACTGAGATGAGTACATAGTATCGTCCTGGAAGGGACCCCAAGGCGGTCCGGCTACTGTTAATAATACGATCAGTCCACCACCAATATGTAAGCCGGGCTTATAACGTGTTAGGAGGCTGAGTTTAATGGGAAAGGAGACGAAGCCTATTAAGGCCAGAAAAAGCTGAAAGAGAAGTGAATCCAATGAAAAGATAACTCTCTAGGGAAGAGAAAGGGCAAACTAGCTACAGGAAAGAAAGGCGAGGTAGCGAGGTGGTGCGGATGATGTGCGAGAGACGTTTAGGAGGGAGGAAATGTGAGCGGTTGGATGCCATGGGGAGCGAGGCTCTTATAGAATCGTATGGAATAGGATAGGAGCCAGAGGAGCCGAAAATAGCTCCTCTCCCCCGGTTCCTTCCCTCCAAAATGATACTGAGGTGTGTCAAAGCTGAGCGAGGAAAGAGTGCTGCTGCGGCTGGGTAACACACAAGTGGGCGTTAGGGACCAGGCACCAAACACGACTTAACCCAAGACGGGCGTAGAAGTAAACACACTCGGCTGTGTGATTCAACGCATGCGGAGCCAAGACCGTGGCCAGTTAGCAGGACTCTTAAAACGGCCTCAGATGCGGCCGTTTTGGGCCACCCGCTAACCGTGTCATCGTTAAAGGGAGTAGTATTCATCTTAAAGTGAATGTGTTAAAATGCTAAACTCACTACTATAAGTCTAGCGACTTGGGTTTTTCAATATCACTACCTAAAGCTCTAGTTATAATAATAAAGGGTTCAATTAGTAAGAGAAGAGCGTTTACTAACATTAACCTCCCTACTCTTATGGTTATGAGAGTATCTGTATCAATTTCTTAGTTTTATAACTAAATTTCTTAATCCTTTAATGAATTATACGCTCACTATGTGCCGTGGGTTTTTCGAAATCAGATGATGAGAATTGGAAAAGCGAGTAAACACCTATTTTGTCCGTCTCCATTCCACAAGTCGTTCAACGGAGGTCCATGAGACCCTTGCTGTCCCGGTTCCAGTATCGGCTTTGTGGGCCATGCCTCAACTACCGTGTTGAGGTTCTTCATTGCGACCTGCAAATCGGCTGATAATCGATCAAATCGAAACCACCTGGTACCTAATCAAAAGTCAGCTCATATTGTGAGGGAATTTGAATCATTAATGACCTCTCAAAAAATTTGTGTCGGTCAAGTACAATTGTTCTCGCATCCCAGAATTTTAAACTGTTGGCACTCTCCGGTTGTAGCAAGGAGTATATGTCAATAGGTAGAAATCCCATGAGCGAATTTATGTTCGGCGTTTGGTCCCCCTCGTCGGCTATATTGACCATTTCCATTACTGCATTCAGATACGAAGAAATGATGGTGGCATGAATATTATCATGTGGAGGTTGCAGCAAAGGGGACAATGAACGCAAGGTTTCTCGTGTGCCCATATACCCAGCATCAGTAATATTCGATACCTAAATGCCATTAGGTACCTGCCTCCCCCCGCATTTTTCAGATCACGTACCTCAATCCTGGCGTATTTGTTCTCCTGGAGGATTTTAGGAAGCTGGATCGCGTCCATATTAAGCAGCTCAAAGTGTATCTCTATATTTGCTAGGCGATCTAGGAACTGCTGGAAGAGATGCCGAAGGTATATGTAGAGTTTACCATATAGGTCCTCCTTCGCCATTGTCCGTACTTGGGCAACTTTTCGTATCGGCCACCCATCTAAAGGGTCGGCTTTGTCGCCCATTGGCCAGACAAATGGAGGCAAGTAGAATGTTCTGGCATGTTGCAGCGAGTGTAAGCCATTTATTCGGGGAGTGGTAATCCTGATACTTACGGATTTGGGCGGTCGAAACCGATCCTATCATGCCCAAATGGAAGGAGAAGTCCATCTTCACGAAACTTCTGCTTTGAAACACGTACAGATGGCGTGGCGTCTTTGAAGTACCATCGATCTCGATAGTCTTGCCTCTCCGGAGCAAGTGTCGTGGCCGTCCGGATATGCAAAGCTTTCTGCTGTGTTAAATCTGAGGGAGCTTCACAGAGCGCCTCCATTCGGTACCATTCCTCTTTCTTGAGAGCAAGATGCAGGCTTCTGTTATGAGAAAAATTCCAGGTCTTCTCCACAATTTCCCCAGTAGCTTTGGCAGATATTTGTCCACAAACATCAGTAAATAGAGATTTCACACGCGATACCAACTGGGTAATAATATCCTTTGGTAAGGAGGCAGAGTACCAGAGGTGAATCAAAGACTCAGCATGGCTAAGCCCACCGGGAGGTATCGAAGTCATCTCCAGCGCCGTAAGGCAAAAAAGGAGCATTATTGCGTTCCTTGCAACGACATGAAAATTCCGGTCGTTAAGAGTCACATCAATTCGCTGTGCAAAGGACTGAGGAAGCCCGGAGATGGTTTTGACCACATTGCGCAAATCACCAGATGCTTAATATTGTGAGCCGCAATTCTCTATGTTTGAACGCCAGAAGGCTAACCAACCAGCAAATAATATCATGATATCACGAGAGAAGTTATTGCCTTCATTTTGGGCCAAATTGAGAACATCAATTGCCGGAACGTTGCCCCAGAGATATACGTCTTGACCAAACGGATTATGGAGGTTACCTGCAAGTCTTGGGTCTGCAAATGCTGGCGTCCGGTTTTCTCTTTCCCAACGTGGGCTCCAACTATGCTTCATGATTTGCAGATTCTTTTATGCTCTGGCCAGTGCGCTATCTGGCAGTGTTTATCACAGTACTATCACATAAGTTATTCGCAATGTTAGTCTTTTCAAACTTACCGAGACTAGCTTGCAGTTACTGCACGAGTATCTGCTATCTTTGTTGCAACCTCCCTCCGCACATGAGAATAAGGTAGTCGCAGCCATTTTCGCCGTCAGTAGTGGGGTTGTTGATGAATATTTTTACTATTCTTCTCGAAAGTTGTCGGCCTAAGTCTGGTAAACTGCCCCGCAGCGCCAGGGGTGCAAGACAATCAATCAATTTGTGCCACGACTCTCATACCCCTCACTAATTGAGTACCGTACATCCAATGGTTTTTTTCTTTTTTCCCCTAGGTTGATAAGACGTACTGTTGCGGGAGGTAGAATAGTCGATGTGTCCCTCAAGGGACGTTTCAACTTGCAGTGGGTTGCGAAACAAGCCTACCTATGTTGTAGGAACTGTATAGTAGATTGCGTGTCTCAACCGCGAGTTTACCCGTCCCACTAGTATTGGCAATAATGGTGGGCTGAAGGGGCAAATGCATGATTTTTCAGGGTTGATGCCTTCAAGCGCCTGAATTCTGCATTTTCTAGACTGGCAGAAATGAAAATACCAAGTGTATCCCGGCCAGGGATTCGAAGAAACTAATGATTTGTGGGGTGGGAATAGCTTCAATTTACAATACACGGTAACTATAGAGCGGTGTCGAAAGCGGTCTATGGCTCAGGCATATCAAAGCATCAACCCTACAAATTCAGCGAAATCTTAGCAGGAATATGAAGATTGAAGATCCTTGCGGTTTCGCTTGCAACTAGGTAGGATTCAAATTCATGCTATCTTGACAGGTTTGTTATGGAAATCTCATAAGCGCTGTAGTCTATAATTACATTAGTGGGCGCGTAGAGAAGGGGCCATCATTACTATTGACATTGGTCAGATATATAGATAGAACCTGGGAATGTGAATACTGCATAAACCGGTTTCATCTTGAGCAATTTCTGACCAACGGTAGAAGGTTCACTGTATTCAGCCATATGTTCCAATAAATTTAGCCCTATGATGTTCTCTATGGACACGGCCAGAGCAGGATAATGCTGTGGCTGAGGCGCCTATATACAAACATACGAAGTACCCAATATCGATAGTTCATATAATGCTTCATATAATACTACTCCATGGTAATGATGCAAAGAGAGAATGCAACTTGCACAGCCACAGGGTCGTTCCCTAGTGAGGCTCCGTGAAAAAGCGGAGCATTTTGATTCCTGTTTCTTCTTTGAACAAGGCTGACAGTCCGGCATTACCAGATCGACATTTGATAGTTGATCTTATTGGTGTTATTCTTCTTAGTCTTGTATTGAATCAGAAGTGGAGGGATGCGCCCGGCGCTTGTTCAGCTGTTCCCCTCATCTCCGACTAATCTTCGGCCCCCATAGCTTCTGCTTTTTCTTTTTTTATCTTCCTCTTTCATTTACTCTTTAATTCCTGATTTTCAACTTCAACTTCAACCTGAACTATTTGCGGCTTCGTCTGTCCAGTCTCTCTTCATTCCCTTATATATTGGGGGCGTCAGACCAGAACGCCAGATCATCACACCAAGCACCAAACACCACACACAACTGGGCAACTAACTCCAATATAATCGCAAATCTGCTTGTATAATCTATACGACGATATATACTCGATGCTTTTCAATTCGGCTTAATTTGATGCCCGTTCTCGCGGTCAATCTTTGGCTAATTGACCGCCATTTCATTTCAATATGTCGCACGCCTCCCCACTCAGCGCCCAGGGGCAATCGCCAGCAGATGCAATCCAAGATCGATATGCTCCGGATCCTTACCTATCAGCCCCATCTGATCCCGAGGAAATCTTCTTTCAGGCCAGTGCCATTCGACTAACGCCAACGCGGGGGAGTCCTGGATACCGTGCGGGACCCCCTCATGAGGAAACTCGGATCGACTCCACAACCCAGGGCTATTTGGACCCGAGAGCAAATGATTATACGGACCCAAGCACTTGCACCTCCCCTATTTCTGATACAAGTGTATTCGTGGAACCGAAGGATATCGAACTGGCTAGTGGTTCGATATGGCAAAATGAAAACCTGCCATCGTACAGGATTGGGGAGGAAAATATGCCTGTCGATGCGGTATGGGGTTCTTCCATGGCGCCGAGCTTTCAGTGGACGGGATTGGACCACAACCAGCATCCGAATCCATCACCCACGCTGGCGGGTCCAGAGCCTCCTGGCAATTCTAGGGCACGGCAATCAATCCCCACCTCGTGCCAGTCTGGCCTCGGTGTCTTTAACGCAGGTGCTGAGCCGCCGAGACTCGGTGTCTTGACCAAGGAGTTGACCACTGAGCAGGCTTCGAGTGCAACCAGGGGAAGAAGCCCCATCGTTAAGATTACAACCTTCACCCGAGGGGATTCGCCCGAGGAACGCAGCACGTCACCCCAAAGGCATCTCAGCCAGTCCTTTGCACATCTATCTGCTAATTCAAGCGACCTGGAAGACGAAGATGATAGCGATCGTCACTCGGTATCTTCTGTTCCCGTGAAGCGATCTGAGAATGGCGGATGGATTCTAAACCCATCAACGCATCTAGCTGGCATTGCCCCAATGTCCCGTGGGGATGAATTCGTGCCAAGTCCTAATGACGTCTATATTCAGCGAGAAAGGAGCGAGAAAAATGTGGATATTTCTCATTGGTCTGTCTCTGTGAGCGCAGCCAACAGCGATGCCGGTGGGGACTCACCTAGTCCACCGCGTCCGCGCCCACACCTTGTTTCCAGGAGACTTCGAGCGAGGAGTACCGGTGATCATCCGTTGAAACAAGAAGATTATTTCAACCTAAAATGTCGCACCGAAGACACATCATTTCCTGGGCCCGGGGTATTAGTTCATGAAAGCAGCGACGACCTCAGCGAAGATGAAGCAAGCGTTGACACCTACTCCGACGAGCCCTCAGCCGAGGTAGATGAATCTGGTAGATATGATCGCAGCACCCCCGAGGTCTATTCATCTTTCTCGCCGACTAAAGATGACGAAAGCATTCGTATCTACCCCTGGCACGATCCCCCTCGCGATCCGACACCCAGATTACAAGCGATGCAGCCAGATAGCTCTACCGACGCTATGATAGCTTTTAACAGACGTGTGCGGGACCTCGAAACAGCATCGCTCGAAGCAACAATTGATAACAATAGCATTATCAATGTTGGTGCATCTCTCGAAAACTTTTCCATTACCGAACTACCCAAGAAACGCACCAGTCTGTTTAAGCGTCAATTTCTGCAGGCATCATCGATTCTGAAACGCCAAGCATCTGAACTTTCTATCGGTCAATCGAATAGCTACCCCGGGGTTCCGCAGCGTGATACAGAGGACTTGCCGGCAAAACCGAGTTATTCACCACGGAATGGGTTCTTGCACCGTCGTCATTCGCGAGCGCCAAGTTTGAGCAACGCACTTCTTTCAATGACCAGCCAAATGGCCGCTGTCGGGCAAGCAGTGTCGCCTACACCCTCACCGAATACGGAGAGAGGTTCCTTAAATATCCAATTCAAGGGTCGAGGTCGAAGCAGGAGCGAGGTCCCCCGACCAAGTAGCCCTGGGCTAATAAATCTCATGACCGCTCATGGTGGACCACCAGTTCCAAGCATCACATCACCCCGTGTCAGTTCGGACGCCTACCAAACACCTAGAAGTACATTTCTAGGCCCTGAAACTGGAGGTGCTGATGAGAATGATACACACGCCAGCAATAACAAAGCCGTAGCTATGGATTTTCCCGCTGTCCAAAGTCTCCCAGTGCCGACAATCGAAGGGTTCAAATCGCAGATCATGCAGTTGAATCCAAGGCTTGAGCCGGCTTTGATTCACCGCTTAGCACATGAGCAAGTCCGCCGATACAAGATCTTGGTTGATTTGCAGCAGAAGCATTCCATTGCAGCTGCCAACCACACGTGTAAATCAGGCACCCTTTGTACTATTCAGGCAGGGCAACCCACTTTGTTGCAGGATCTCGAGGCCCCCAACGATCCGGAGGCAGGACAGATCCAGTCCCAAGTGACAAGTTTCAGTTATGGGTACGAGCAACAGTATTCTCCAGGTGATGGGACGGCGGCCGCGACACATTTCCCTCCTGGCGTGCCCCTTCCACCAGTCAGTCGTCTTCCTGCCCGGTTTGAGTGCCCCATTTGCTTCGAAGTGAAAACCTTCCAAAAACCATCCGACTGGTCCAAACACGTTCACGAAGATGTGCAGCCATTTATTTGCACATTCCCCCACTGTACCGAGCCCAAGGCATTCAAGCGTAAAGCAGACTGGGTTCGCCATGAGAACGAGAAGCACCGGCACCTGGAATGGTGGACATGTGTATTGCCTGAGTGCAACCACAAATGTTACCGTAAGGACAATTTCGTTCAGCATTTGGTCCGGGAACACAAAATGCCAGAGCCCAGGATCAAAAGGACGGAGAAAGCCTCTAGCACCGTGGATGCCGAGAGTGTACCAAATAGTCGAAAAGAGCAGGAGCTTGACCGATTATGGCAAATGGTCGAAAAGTGTCGGCATGAAACCACGCAAGCCCCGCAGGAAGAGCCATGCCGCTTCTGCGGGAATGTGTGTAGCGAGTGGAGAAAGTTGTCAGTCCACCTTGGCAAACACCTGGAGCAACTCGCCTTGCCCGTTTTGCGATTAGCGAAGCCAAGCAACGCTTCAACCCTTGCCACCAACCCCAGCAAAGTGGGGCAGATTCGGGAATCATCGGCCGCGACCTATCCCTCTGCCGCGCCATATCACCCTGGACACGAACTACCCGAAACAGCCTCCACCCATCTGCAGCCGCAGTACGCGATCCGAAACACTAGCACACCGGCTAATCCTGGGTTCTCAATCAACACCGTACCGCTGGCAAATTATCCCACCATCTCCGGGGGCGAACTTTCCATGGAGCCGGAGTCCATG